TATTTTAGAGATAGCTGCATTCTCCATATGAATTCACACATAAAGTCTGAACACAGCTTGGAATATCTTAAATGGAGCTTGTCTTGCTTACTTTTGACAGCAGCTTGCAACTATCTTTATCATTGCTGCAATCATGCAAGTAATTTGTTGCCTTAAGTATTGCATCCTTGCTAGTAACAGGCAGGGAAAATAAACATAAATACTTTCTGGTCCCCCCTAGTGGCCAGTTCTGACATTCCACCTTGGAAATATTTGAGAGGACAAAATCAACCAAATGATTTCTTTGCCACTTACGACAAATAAGAGAATGGCATAAAAACAGCAATGGTGTAAGGACTCATTATATACTTGTTCTCATTGTATACCAAAAGTAACTAATTACTGGTAATTGCATTGCTTGTAATTAGCTATTCCCAAGCTCTGAGTCTAAAATGACACATATCGTTGACGCAACTTGACTACTTAATTATGATTTGAATTATTCCACAGCATCATTTCATACAGTAGCGACTTGAAACAGTATTTATATCCAGCTTCTTCAGTACAGCTTCTTGGGCTGTATCGGCCCTCCTGTAGCACAGAATATGTGGTAAACCCAAGGGACTTGACTTGCAATGCATGAATTGGCTAAAAAGCGGGTTTTGCACTGGCCTCCCAGTGGGAAGGAGACCATATTCCTTTACACAGCTTGGCGGCAGTGAACTGAAGCGCTGAAGCACTTCCCTAAGCGAGTTCTCTTAAATATATGCCAGTGTAAAATGGCTGTTTGCATAATGTGCAGAGTCGGTTACCAGCAAGGGCGGGCGGGCGGGCAAGGGGGGGGGGAGTCCTCGTGGGAGGCTGGAAAAGGGAGCAGGGCGAGGTATAAGCCGAGAGGCTGCTGCCTGTAGCAGTTCTAGAAAACGACGCTGTGTGAATGCCACGATTGTTCCTGCTTCGGGGCTATTACTTTCTTCCCCCCGGTTCCTGAGTCTTCCTGGTACGCCCTCCCACCCTGGTCTCTCTCCCCCGTCAGGGTCTGTCTTTTTTCCATCTTAGTCTCTCTCTCTCATTTGCCCTCTCTTTCTCCAGGGCCCTGTGTGCCCTTTGCCTGCGGCCAGGCCCTCCTGTTGCAGACGGACGAGGCCGGGGGGACAGCAGGGCAGGGGGGCCGAGGCGATCTTCCTTGGCTGACCCTGGTGAAGGCTAGCCTGTTTCGCCAGGTATCTCTGGAGCCCCAGCTTCCTCGCTCCTCTTGCAGTGCAAATATTCTTCCAAGGCTGAGGGCAATAATTTTGCAATCCCTCCTCCTTGCACGGGAGAAGTAAGGATTTCCTTGTCGCCTCTGCAGCCGTCTGTGGAGCTCATTGTGTGTCCACCTGGGGCAGGAGAGAAGGTCTCTCTGGGCTGGCTTCTGGGGGTTCTCCTTGCGGCTTGCTTGAACGGTGGCTACAGGTGACACTACGGGCACTAAGGACTAAAGGCACTCATGAAGCTAAGCCAGATGTGCAGAGATGGCAGGTTGGTGTCACCCTCTGTGGGCTCAGCCAGATTTGGGGGGGGGGAGTCTTTTATTTTTAAAGGATAATGGGGTCCACGGTGAGCTGGACCTGGAACTGAGAAAAGTGAGGTTAAATTTTTCTTCCCATACTTTAGAAAACTGTTTTCCAACCTTGGGTCTCCAGATGTTCTCGGACTTCGACTCCCAGGAATCTTGGCCGGCACGGCTGGTAGTGAAGGCTTCTGGGAGTTGCAGTCCTGGAACATCTGGGGACGCAAGGTTGGGAACCACTAGTTTAGAAGGACAGAACCCGTGTAAACGAGGTGATTAAGAATGCAACTGTCTGCATCTCATTTCATTCTGATCCATTCCCATAAGCAGAATCCCTTGTGTAAATTAACCTGTGGCTTGAATATTGGGCTTTGTGCCTTTGAAAACGGGGCTCATGCCCAGGAAGAAGGGTACATCATGCCAGCGTCCCTCGACTCTTCATGGGTTTTGAGCCAGCAGACAAGCACAGCTACCTCCGGAGAACCAGCCCGCATGATTTCACAGGTGCAAAATGCCCGCCTCACCCAGGTGGGCCATGCCTGCTTGAGTCAAACCCTACCAGCTGCTGCCTGCGGCGCCCATTGAGATGGCAAGCTCCTTCGTCCTTCGCTTTCCAAAGGTGGAGTGGAAGGGACGTCTTGTTGGACGTTTCATGCCAAGCCAAGATTCTTCACGGCCACCTGGACTTCTCTGTGAGGAGAGAGGACCAGGGGCCTGGCCAGGTCTTTGGGGTTCCCTCTCTTCCTTGCATAATGCCACTTGAGCCAGAGAACCGGCGTCGAGCCGGCATCCGTCCCCCACAAAAAAAGCAGCAAATTCATGTCTCCCCTCTTCCCCCCCATCACCCCGACAATTACTTGCCAGGCGGCTGCTCTTTCGGTCATCCTCCCTCTGAGCACGTGGGATGCGGCACCCATTTCAGCCGCACGAAAACACCCACTTTACTTGTCAAGGGCTATATAAAGGCAGCTGGAAAGCACGTGTGCCTCAATATATATATAGGGATCCCCGGCTGAATGCTTTGGGAGTCCCATGGGTAGCCATTTTTGTTCTGGGCAAGATGGCTCCTTTTCACTCTGGGCTCCCCCTCCTGCTTCTTCGCTCTGGTGGGTGCCCATGGGGTTGGTGGGCTCCCTGCCCGGCCCCTGTCTTGTGCTTCGGCGTCTCTCCCCTCCTCCCTCCACAGTGCAAAAAGGAGACCCTTCCAGGAACGGAGCAGCAGCGGGTTTGGGCTATTGTGAGAGAGGGCATTACCTTTGCCGCCAAACAAAGC